CTTTTGGTGTTAAAAGTTTTTTTTTAATTTTTTATTGGAACAAAGACTGTATCAGCAGAAATTGTGTGCATGACGTGCCTGTATCCTTATCATTATTCTTTCTAATTCCTGTCAAAAAAATATTTTCAGACTTCACCAAAGGATATAAATTACTGCAGTACACGGTGATCTACCGATTCCTCGGCTATGGCGCCGGTAAGTCTTTTAGAAGACTAACTATTTACCAGAACGATTCATGTTAATGTTTCTAATTTTACATCTTTATTTTCTAAAACAGAGTTTTCATTAAGGATAAAGAAGACGCATCACGCAAAAAAAAGGAATCAATTGTTGATCTCTCACGTTTCATAGACAAGAAGATAAGAGTCAAATTCCAAGGCGGAAGAGAAGGTTCTTTTTTTATTTTCTTAACTGACATATTTTCCTTTCAGCGGTTGATATGCATTGTTTTCTAGTATTTGTTCTTCTCCCCCACACCCGCGTAAATGAAGGGCGTTTCCTTCTATCCGAGACTCCCGTAAGAGTGGGTGGGATTGGGGACAAACCACTTGAGGATGTACGACTCACTGACTTTCCGTCCGAGAAATAAACTGTCCGCTTAAAAACACTTTGACAAAAAGGAAAACTGCGCTTTCAGCAGAGGATGTTTATTACGTTTCTCCGTAGCTTCTTATCCTTTACTGATCACCAGACCGTTGGCTTATGTCTTTTTTCAGCCTCTGGGATATTAAAAGGTTATGATGCTTTGATAAACCTAGTGCTAGATAACGCCGTCGAATATATTCGTGATTCTGATGACCCGCAGAAGATAACCGAGGTACTGTCACTTCTTATATCCCAAATTTTGAATAAACTTTATGATAGAAGCGAATTAAATGCAAAATAAAATTTCTTACAAAACTCGACTATTCCTGTTGAACGACTCTGAAACTGTTTTGGAAAATCATACATCATTTCGGTTCTGCCATACTGCCTGATCTTATGTTCTTTTAGGAGACACGGCCTTTAGGATTAATAGTTGCTCGAGGAACAGCAATCACCGTAGTGGCGCCAAATGACGGCATTGAACAGATCCCAAATCCGTTTGTTTGATGTTATAGATGTACATATTCGCGAAGTTGTTGTATTTTACCCACGTTGTTGGCGAAGTTTAGTGATGACAGAATGAAAGAGACAGTGTTTTTCAAAAAACAGTTGAGAGTGTTTCTTGAAAAAAAAGAGCCACATATGAGTTTGAAATTGAGAGGTAACCACCAATTTCTTTTCGTAGTGGGAGTCCACTAACTGCCCTCCCAGCAAACATTTCTTGCCACTGCAGCTTGGAAATATACTAATTGCCTGGTAAAATCTCGAACTGTTGGCAGTTTTGTAGCAGCAGTGCAAAATTCTTTGTGGCAATGACTTTGCGGGGAAAAAGAGCAGGTGAGCCCAGCATTTTTATCTTTGTACTTTACTGTTAGAGAAGCTGTCGAGCAAGTTACTATGATTATAAAACAGCAGTCATGACGTGGGAGGCGAGCGGGTCTTGCCATTTAACGTAGGTAAGAGTTTGGTGGGCGTGTTTGTACATTATGGCAGTTTTGAAGACAGTGTAAGAGAAGGACATAAGAAAGAATCGAGTTGGACATTTTTGATTTCTTGATTGGATATTTCACGGGGAGGTCGTATCTGATTTTTGAGACGTTCTTCCTTCTCCTCTAAGGTTACTGATAATATCGCTACAATCATTTATGATAATATCAGCTTCGCCTAGTACAGCTAGTATATTCTGATTTCTCTCACGCTCCTCAGGTGACATTAATGATGGGTTCCGGAATTCAACTTTTGGCACTTCTGCTTGGAAGAGTTCAATGTCATCAGGATCAAAATCAGGAAGCTCTGCAGTTTTCACAGAGAATTCATCTTTTTTCGACTTCCCCTTCGAGAACTGCAAATATTCTTCGTTTCATATTTTCAATAAATTCAGAAACAAGCGGAAGTCAAACCTCATCAATTTTTTTCACTACGCTTTCAATCCGTTCCAATAACTCTGTGTACAATGTCTGCTGCGGCAGCCTGAAAGCTTTCATCATTTAATTTTAAAAGATCTTTGCAACGCTGAGAGAATAAGGTTTAAAATGGGAATTGTACAGTTAAGCTGTTGGTATCAACAGAAATGATTATGCTCCGATTGACAGGTCATTTTTCATTAAGCTTACTTTACGGTCTACAGCCATATTTCGCAGCCTAGTCGAAGAATTATGTAAAGAAAGTACTTTACTAGGAAGTGTTCTCTGTTCTGTGCTAGCTTAAAAATTGTCGTCAATGACGAGGAGTTGCAAATTTTTGTTGATTATCTTCACCAAAAAACTATGAAGAGCTTACGTTTTGAAAAAATATTTACTTTTCTGGAGCTTGTGTTTTGCGTTCAGAAGTTCCTTTTTTAGAAGTGCATCTTCAGCTAACTGGAAACTTCCTCCATCTCTGCCTTCTGATTCCCGATAGTTGAACACTAGAATGTCGAACTAAAACTATTTCAATTACCAAGATTGTGCTAACAAGTAGAAGCAGGGGTCTACAGCATCAACAGAGGAGCGAAGCAGTAAGAGCTACGTACTTGGTCCTTTTCAAAGCTGGAGCGATCTATTACACGGTCATTATCTTCTTTTGGATCACCTTCAAGCTGTTCAGCCATGATAAACCCTCAGTCCCTTTACGCAATACTTCACTCGTCCACTGCTTAATTGAACGGAAAACTGCAACCACACGGATTATATGCAGTCGTAGCAAATGCTTTAGGCGTAGTCGGCAACAAAAACATTTACAGTTTCATATAAAAGCAAGCAACGAAGTCTTCTGCATCTAGACCACCCATAGTACACTAAAAATAATTTATAAATCTACAGTTTTTATTAGTCTCATAGTTTCATTAGTTTTTGACCACCTTTACAACTGAAACGCTTAATTTCGGCAAGGGAAGGGCAAGAACACCATGATCAGCAGCCACTCTGAATCAGCTGTCTTCCTCATACTCACCTCCAGAGAGCATAAATGACGTCACGAAAGTACCTACTCGAAAAAAACGAAAGAAAAAAACAAGGCTTTTTTTCAGTTTGATCGTTTCATTTACCTTATTGGTTGTAATGAAACGCAGCCACGTTTACTAAAAATAGAATTTATTGACTTGATTTGCTGAAGTAAAAGTGAGATGCCAAACTGAGAGTTCTAAAAACTATACTTCCGCAAGTATTTAAACGACTTAAACAAAATAAGAAACATCTGAAGCATTAAACTAGCCAAAACACTTTTGCAAACTAGTAAAGGCGCTTCTGTTTCATGTCTTTTAGACTTCATGACGCCATTCCCAAACCAAAACCGAATATACTGCAGTTAGTGATACAGAGATAATAAAGTAACCTAGCACTCGAAGGACAAAAAAAAAGTTAAGAGTCATTCATTCCCGCAGCAAAAATATCATCACAAAATAGGATCAGTCATACAATTAAAAGAGCAACAACAAAAAATAAATTATACATTGCCCTGAGTCAATTAAGCTTTGATGGTAGAATATATAATTCATGGGGAGCATTTTTTACTTTTTTAAAAAGTGAACAATATCGCATCACTTTTTGTAACGCCGGTTGTACTAAAGTGGCAACAAAATAATCTTTCTCTAAACTGATGACCCCAGGAGGACGATAAAACTCAAGAAAGCTGCAGATAAAATCGAAACAGTTCCAGTTTTCAAAATCATAGCTCTGAAAATACACTATGACTAGAAGTGAAATACAGATTATTGAATATAAAAGTAAGTTAGCAGTAATGCAAAAGACCAAAAATAATCCATAATTTTCAATAAAATTTGCAAGTTGTCTCATTCAAATGGATTTAGAAATCTACCTGAGGCAAAAATCTGTTTTTCGCTTGCTCGATAAAGAAGTAAAGAGCTCCGTCAAACCCGGTATTCTCGAAGGAGTAAATGACAACAGATCCGATCCAAGAATTTCGATCCGTCGTTATACCATTTGTCCAATATGAATAAACGACGGATGATGAATCAGCTATCCCAACGTGTAAGTCATCCCCGATATCATAACTTAAAAAATTTTCTCAAAATATACTGAGGAAAAAACTAAACGGTCACATATTCTTTCAAAAGTTAGAAAAGATTTTAATAGCTGCGAGCAAAATTCTCTAGAAATCAGCATCCATGGTTTGTGGGAAACCAGTACACTACGAGCAAAACTCTCTAGAAATCAGCATCCATGGTTTGCGGGAAACCAGTACACTACGAAAACAGCAAAGCCCACGAAAAAAAAGTTGCAATGACAAAGTTTTACAAAGTACAATCCAAAGTCATGAGTATATTCTGAGAGAGGCGCAAAATACGTCTGACCACTTCAGATGAATAATCTCAAATTTCCCCATAAAATTATTGTAGATTCAAAAAACTTACAAACCTTATGCGTTGAGAAACCGCATACTTACAATTATTACTCACACCTAACCTCAATAAATATTTATGCTTTTCAGTTTTTCAAGCAAGTTCATAAAATTCGGATGGCGAAAAAAAATAACGTGAATGAGGGTAAAGTACTACGCTATAAATATGAGGTTCAATTTTCCTGTAACGTTCCAGAGCTGTACAGCGAAGTAGCTTGCAGAATTCAAAACAACAAAAAACGCATTTTCACAAAGTCCAAAAAATTTTGCAGTACAAAAAGTCGATCAAACATACTTCTCAAAAGTACCGGAAGACGGCTTCAACAAAACAGCACACGACGCTAATGGATCAAACGGCGTAGGTATTGCAGTCAACAATAATTCATCAGGTTTTCTTATACTCTTTTCACATAACGGACATTCCAAAATTGGCCAATGGATGTTCAGTCCAATCGCAGAGTTTTTACATTCAGTATGCCTAACGTATATCAAGTCACCGTCAATCGGACCCATCCAACAAAACAAAGATCACGTAATGTTCACGAAAGGCGTTTTAAAGACGCCTGATTGATCCGTCTGTTACATTCAGTGCCCTTAAGACGTACGACAGTTCAAAATATTTACTTGAAATTTCTTTAAAAATTTGCCAAACTGGCATGCAATATGACAATTAAAGAACTGTTACGAACACGGTAGTACAAGAACGGCAACAGTAAGATACAGGAGAAACAATGCCAAACTAAAATGCCCTTCCCACCCACCTCACATTGTTTGGCTGACCCTTCTGACACCAAAGAATCTTCAACGAACAGATGATTCTGAATAGCCAACAAAATGCTGGCAACCTAACAAAACTCACTCTCTACTAATTTAACCGAATTTTACAGCCCAATATTGTCGGTAACACCGCCTTGACACGACCCACACAGTTTCCCAAAAGAATCGCAACTTCTGTTAGTCTTGGCACCTATATTGGTTGGAGCAGCAAATCCGTAAAGTCTGACTGGATATCTCCAGTAGAAAAATATCTTGAAACACGTTATTCCCTTAGCGTTCCATAATTTCACTTCCTTCTCTTGAAAGCTCTATTAATGCATACCTGCCTGCCCAGTAGTATCCCATAATACGCAACGATTGAACGCTCTTTAAAGTTTCCCACTTCACTGCTAAAAAAGCAAACAGTTTGCAAATACGAGTGTAGTCAAGTAATTACAGATGGAGAATTAATAAGGGGTCGGGCACTGACGTCAAAACCTGAAGACATAGAAGAATGAGAAAGAACAAAGAAAGTTTATAATTTTCTCAAGAAAACAGAAAATTCCAAGTAAAGAAAAATCGTACAAACCCTAAAAAAAAACTGATTCAGAAACCTGTAAATAAGTCAAGATCGGTGCGTACTTGCAAGAAGAAGAAAATCTTATGCTTTAGCACATTTGATGATTACTTAGCAGATTTTTTTGGAACAGAAGTAAATAATCCAGTAAGAAATCGCTAGCGATTAACATGAGCGACTGGTAAAATGGAATACTATTCTGTGCAAAACCGTCATCTAATTCTGCAGTGATGCAATCTGCAACGGCCCCATGTCTCTCTAAATACCGTTACTTAATCCATCTCTACGAGAGACCCGACCTATACGACTACTGATCAATTAGTGAAATCAGCCAAAGTACCTTCAGAGATCCTGAACGCTTTGCTGGGGAACTACCACCGCACTTGTCCAAACTGGCCCAGTCCTATGCTATGCGCTACCCGGGAAATAAACCATTTAACGAACAGACTTCAATGCTAAGCCACTCCTCGCACTAAATCAGAAATTTCAGCAAGTGTGCTTTGTACCAACCTTGTTAGCCTTTGGCGTTTTCATAAAAAAAATTGAGAAACGGAGAACACCAAACTACTTCAGAAGCGATACGTATAAATGGAAGTAATTCTGATTTCGTTTAAAACTTTTATTCCTTAACCGGCAAAAAGCGAAATTTAATTTGCTTGATGAGCAAATCAGGACTGCAGTAGTAATTCAACTGTGTACATGTCACCCAAAAAAATTAATAAAGACTATATTTCTGAATTCTTTACAGCGAATTATCTGCCGTTTGCAAAACTATGGCAAAAATGTTTCATTCACTTCAATTATATATTTTTTCATTCTGTATGACACCTTTTCACAAGTGTAATCTGAAATTTTTTGTTCACCATGCAGAAAAACACGGGGGGGATTTTTTGATGTTACTTTAATTAATTAACTGTTTTTGGATCAAGGCTTTAATAGATTAACCATGATTCTTGAAGTCTGCCAACTTGAGTAACATCGTCTGATCTTCACAATCTACTAAGAGTTTTAAAATAATCTAATTAGTTACTAAGCAATGAGTTCGTTTTCTTTTCAATACTGCCCTGTGGTTTAACAACTAACGCTAAAAGATCAACTTCGACTACTTCGCTTCACTTTCCATTTCTGCTGATAATGATGTGCTAGTTTCGTAGCACTTTTGAAAGGTGCAAGGCTACCCTGAAAATTCATGAACAAAAAAATTTCCAATTTTTAAACAGAAACTGCTTTTCTCAACTTCTGATGACTGATTGCTAACCATAAAGTTCCTTAAATTGATATAAGGTTCATATGATGCACTGATGCTACCAAGACTTTACAAGAAAAGAAAATACACGAAATCATTAAATCCATTTTTTTCTTCAAAGATATGTTCGAAAAGATTTGGAAGCTTAAGAAGGTAGTTGAATTATTGCGGTAGTAACAGAAAGCATAGGAAGGAACGATTATTCGATCAATGTCAGCTAAGGAAATTAGATAAAAAGAAATGAGTCGAAACTCATTGCGTGTTAATAACTTTATGAAAGCTTTAAACTAACAAATGTATCAACCTTCAAATAGTTTTATTTGCTTGACATCATGTCCCTCACCCTTGCGTATATGTAATTCATTGTTGACGTTACTGCTGTTCGTTTACTTTTTTTAGCGATTAGTAGTTATCGACCTTTTCACTTGTACTTTACTGTTAACAGTCTCAAGACCAAACGAACCATTTACAGACCCACTTATAGTATGTTTATTTAATTAGCACCTTAATTCAAGTAATAAAATATTTTTGTACCCTTATAAGAATACACTTATTGTTTACTAAAATATGAGTTTCTGACTCGCAGACTGGCAAAAATACTCTGACGTAGACTGCACTTCCACAATGTTATACAGTTTTTCAAAAATACCACCCCTTCGATAAAAATAGTGATCTGACTTTACAGTTTTAAAAGTGCAGCATTCCCAATAATATAATTGAGAACTTCTGTAAAGAGGCGAAGTTAAAGTATAATTTGTCTGAAAGAAGCAGCTACTCTTGCTTAGAAAGCCTTAAAAAGCAACAGCAAAAACAATTTACTATACCAACTGTTCTGCTGGACTGAGACGATTTGTAGTCATCCTATAAGCAAAAACGCGGATTGCTTTAATATTAACACTTCGTTAGTATTGGCAGTGAAACAAAAGCTCATTAAACCAAAAATCTTTTTTTCTAGGAAGTTACAGCCCGATATTATTTGAGCAATTTTTGGCAGACAAGGGAAGTTAAGAGGGGTAAAGTACAATGCAGAAACGTCAAAGTGTCAAGTCTAGAGACCTTGCTATTTGACTTCCAGAAGTATTTTTTGGATTCTTTTCTTCAAACTGCGACTAAATGTTTTACGGACCGGGTTACGCTTTACAGAAGTTATCAAACCTCCTTCGCATATTCCATTTATTTGGGATTCAATATGAACTGCTAAAGATCTGACTGGCTTTTGGAGCATCTAATGTTGTTATAAAAAGAAAATTATTTTATTGCGGTTTTGCTTTTAATTCAGAACTGTTTTTGCTGAGCAACAAAAAAGAATTTGACGCAAAATTTTGGAGCCATTGTTATTGTAGATATTGAAATCTACTCAACATTTTTCAGATTGGAGAAGAAAATTAAAAACTTAGGACCGTTTTCAACAAGCTCGCTTTCTTTTATAATTTTATTTGTGTTTGGAGCGTTATTGTCTTATGGCAACGAGGATATAATTAAATATCTTCGTTAAATCTCGAAGTGTCAATCAGCAAATATTTATCTAGATTGACGGAGGCGAATGGATAAAGGGAAAGAGTAACTTGTATATAAACAAGTTAAAGTGGCTGTCGAAGCAGTTTATCGTTACTGTTAAGAAACAAGAATCACTAGTTTGTTTCTAGAATAATTTTTTCGACTTCTCCTGGGTCACGCTGAATTTATTAGGTGTTTCGCTCTGATTGTTCAAAGCACTGATAACCAAAAAAATCAACTCAGAAGTATTATAACCAACAAAACGGGCAAAAAGTCTAGCAAATTGAGGTACTCAATTGAAAAGAATTTTCTTGTTTTGGTAGACCATATAATAATGCCAAAAATTAAAAACCTATTTGTTTTTGGTTCTTTACTGTAAAGACGAAAAAAGTATGCAACTTAAATTTTGAAGATGAAAAAGTGAACTAGTGGAAGCGCTGTCGGCGAACAATTGGAGAAAAATTACTTTTGACAATCATACAGGGAAATAAATACTAAGAAAGTTACTGTAAACTGTACTGACGAATGTGATAGCAGTAACACTTTGATAATCTTTAATACAGTATTTGTCCTCCTATTTTTTAATATATTTTCTAATACTTTTTGCTATGAGTGCAGTTTGAGTAAAAAATTTCACAGTCTGTAAATATTCCACCTTCACTTTTCGGTGGGTGCACTTATAGTATGAACTTTTTGTACTGACTTCATCACAAAAATCGACATTTGATTTGTTCTTTAAAAACTCTGGTAACAGTTTGGTTGAATTCTGCAAGTTGAAAGATGATTGCTGAGAGAGAGTGAGTCTTCTTCTGTAAAAAAACTGAACAGTTTATTTGACTTCTGACAGCTATCGAAAATTTTTCGTAACACATCTATATTTTATATACTAAACTGTGGCTTGGTAGACTGTTTGGGCACTTATTGATACCAATGAAACAGCAACAATTATATCAGAGGACAGCCTAATTGTTGACCGTGCGATAGAAGAAAAAAGAGTTGTTCTGTATTATCGAAATTATGGCAGCTTTCATAGGCTTATGAGATTTGGTGGTAAACTTTGATTTTTAATTATTCATTTTTTTTTTTTATAGTTTTATCAGATTTTGATCTGTAGTGAAAAAATGGCTGCTTACCGCTTAACCGTCTTTGGTGACTGAGATTTCGTCAACAAATGTAAACTTTTTTCTTAACCACAGCTGTGCAGCAATTGTTTTCAACCTAATCTAATCATTAATTGCTACACATTTTTTTTCACCATAGTTCTGACAGTTTTGAATACAGCCTGTTCCAAGTCAAAGTTTATGTAATTTATGTAATTTTCAGAAGAAGGAGCATTCAATTTTGGCAGTAATTGGCGACGGAATTAATCGCTGCTGATTGGCTACCGTTAAACTTATAGTCATTATTTGTGGCCACTTATTGGATGAGTTTCCAACA